AGTGCAAAGTCAACCCAGCTAGGTCTTCCTTTTGTAAACCTTCATTCGCATACTGACATTGCCTCCTTTCCATGCTCTTTGTAGCACAGACCTCCCAGTTCTCAGATTCATCATGCTTGAAATACCCACAGTGGCAGAAGCTACCTTATGTCACCCCATCTGTGAAAAAACACAAGCAGAACATTCGGATTTTTTGCCTAATTATCTAAAAAGGGATTGACTAAAAGGAATATTTCACTCTCCAATTTTAAAAATATCATTCACAAAGCCCAAGTAGCTATTCTGTAAGGAACAACTGCAATTGCAATGGCCATTAATACAGTATTTAAATACTTTAAGTACAGTATTTATGGCCTGATGATAGAAAAGATTTTTTTTTCTTTTCTAATTAGAGGTTTTACAATAAAACCATTTTACTATACAAAAATTCTTGGAGGATTTTATTTTTAACACATTTGTTCTGCCTGAATTATTAAACCATTACAGATTTTCCAGGGGAAAAAAAAAAAAAAAAAGTCTATTCACTAAGCTTCTGAGAAACAGGTCTTCTAAAAAAAGGATAGGAAACATATGTTGACTATTTTCTTTTGAACAGAATTCAAATGGACATTGTGTCCTGCTACTTGTCCTTGCTATAGCTGTTTCCAAGAGGAGTGGGGAATGTTTCAATACAGTACAATTTATCTCCTCCTAGTGCTGATACAAGCAATGACACAAGGCTTTTAAAAATCAAGCAGTATGAAGCAGCTCTCTAATTCCCTTTCAGATAGCCATAAGTGCCTGCTCTGCCCTTTATCATCTTGCTGTGCAGCTCTGAAAGGCTGCAATCGCTCAGCCAGTCCAGGACAGCTGATGGACCCGACCTTGGCCTGGTCAGGGGCTGTGCCAAACGTCAGCGTGTATTTGGCTGCGGAGCTGATAAACCCAGAGCAGACAGCACAGAGAGATAAAGCACTATGATGCTCTCACACTGCCTTCTCCAGCAAAGCAAAAACAGGAAGCCAGCTTTCTCTGCTCATCGCCTGGTAGGGCACCCCAGCATGGCTCTTGTTCAAGCAGCATATCCTAAAGCCCTGGGTACAAATAACTCTAGTGTGCCTCTTACCACTGGCAAACATCGAGCTGACACTGGGTTTTGTAGGCATTCTCATCAGTGCCACACAATAAATATTTATGTACAGTGCAGATTGTTTTCATGAGATGAGGAATGCAAGCTGTTTAGGAAAAACAGGGAAGAAAATACTGACTTTGATAAGATGTTATTCAGATTTTCATATGGCACACGTGAGAATGGAAACCAGAGGATATTTCCATGTTCTTGTGTACTGGGAACATACCACTAAGATGCATTATATTCAGGAATGTTGCCTTGTGTGCAAACCAGAAAACTACTTGTTGTTTGCTCACTCAGCAGCAAAACTAGCGAGAGGAAGGGCAGCACTCAGCACGAGAGATCTGTGAAAACAACAGTGGAAGCCCCATGTGTTACACCTACACTAGACAAGCTGTTTGCACACCTTTCTCAAGCTTAACCAACAGTGCTGCACTACACAATGGAAAACCTACTGCCACTCAATGTCAGTGGTGAGTTACACCTTGCTGTACTTTTGAAAGCAGACTTTCTAAGGAAGAAATATAAGATGAAGGATTTATGAAGAACTAGAAGGAAATTTCCTTGTTTACCCCTCATGCAATAGGAAACTGAAAGCTGTGATTCACAAATGGAACACACCCCCTTAGCAAAGAAGCATGTGCTTTCTGTTTTCCTAAAGCTCTAAGTAACTTTCTCTGTGTTTAAGCAAACATCAAAACCGATGTTTAAGCTACTCTTGCAAGCATGAGGTCTTCTGGTACAGATGGTTGCTTTCCTTTCATTATCACCATCTCTAATACAAAGGAAATAAAAAATCCTACCCAGTGCTTGCCCATGTTCATAAGTCATACACAGATCAGAATAAAAGGGTTTCCTCTTCCATGTGAAAATGCAAATGCATGAAAATGCAGGGAGTACCACACATAAATTCACTAACACACACAAATCACCTTCTTGCATTTTGCCTCCATGAAGCTTTGTATCAATAATAAAAGTTTTTGATAAACCATTTCAATTGAAGCAGCTCTGGCAGTCACAGCTTCATAAACTGAGAATTTAATTTCATTCACCAACTCAGTACCAAAATTAAAACTTCCCATCAAAAAGCATTTGTGACAGATACTATCTAATATTATTTCTTCTATAAGATGAATACTGCCATTCCCTGATGTCCAATACCATCTGTGAGTTGTGAAATTTATGTCTATGAAGCACAGCTTCTGTTCACCATCCTGTGCCACTGCTAGTGGCAGGTTGGAGGTATCATCCTCTCTGCTCCTGGCTTTCTCACATCCATGTAGAAAGAAGGATATACTCCTGGGCTTCCAGAAGAACCTGAATGAGAAAATACCAGCAGGTATTGTGAATACAAGTTCCAGGCAAAAATCCAGAGCTGAAAGAACAGCCTTCTCCACAAATCTTATCCTGGCCATTTCCTTTCCAACTCAGTTTTCTCAAATATATTTGCTGCATGAAAACAGTTGCTGAAATGTTTCAGGGAATCATTTCATGCCTTGACTGAGTTCCAGTGCAACCTGATGTACGTTTTAGTTCTGCCCTGTATAGAAGTTTTATGCTCAAATATGAAAAACCCATTCACCTTTCTCTTACCTCACCACACAAAAGAAATAGCAAATCAAAGCTTCTTCCCGGCTTCTTCTCAGATTCTTCTCTAACAAGAACAAACCCTGCTTTTTATGAGTATTCGACTCAAATCCTGTTTTGTGTGACCATTCCTGATGAGAAAGCAGACACAAGAAAAGTTCAAAGAATAAAAATAAAAGCTTTCAAAGACGCGAAGGAGTATTTCAGCACAATATGGCCGTGAACAACATTACTTCATACAAATAATGAGATAAATAGAGGACAAACTTAAATATTCTGGACTTTGTCATCTCATTCCCTTCCTTCAGCTCAAATACAGTTTGTTCATAAGTGAAAACAACCCCATGTTAAACCAATCTTAAACCAGCAGAAACTGCATTAGTAATCACACTTCATGTGTGCTTCTGCTTTAGAAACAATGAGAGTCATTTGTCATACTGCAAAAACACTTTAGCATGTATTATGCTCAGTTCTTATGAAATAAAAAATCTTACCAAGAATACCACTTGCTAATAAATGTGTAACACATATGCTGTGCAGTCGCTTCATTCTTACCATGCCAACTCTTTTAATATGCTTGTTAGAACTACTCCTTCTATCTCATTTAAATTTAGACAATCTTTCTTCCTGGGCTTGTCTTTAACAAACAAAAAAATTGCCCATAATTGAGAGAAAAAGCATGAAAGCTCCACAAGCACGAATCTGTCACTTCTCTCCTCCCCTTAATTCCATGCAGAGGCCATCAAAATCAATTACTGAGCATGCAGAAGGAATATGATGCCCCTGTTAAGAGGAATCATGAAAGATATTGCCATATTAATTTAGATAGTCTTCCATAACACATCCTTCGCTAGGAGCTGCTTTGTCTCCCACGAGTAAAACACTGGATGCACCAACACCAACAGAAATTTTACCTTTACATTTGTTCTTGTCAATACTTAATTCCACAAAGTCACACAGTTTCAGCCATCACAAAATCCCACCCCTGGGTAACGATGTGGGAGTAAGAACTACACAGTTGGGCATACAGCTGCAATGGGGTGACAGTAATCCCTGGTGCAAAACCTGGGTTTACCAAAACAAGCTACAGAAAAAAGCCACAGGGCTTTCTTTTGGAGGAGGACTGCACATGGAGGATTTGCATCCATACAATTTGAAGTCTGATCCCACTAGTACTGGAGGGTGGGTAATTTACTGAGTTATTTGCCCCAGGGCAAGCTGTGGGGGACACAGTTCCAGGACTCCCCAATCAATCAGGGTACTTTTTTAATTATAATTCTATATCAGCAATAGTGTGGCCAGCAGGGCCAAGGCAGTGATCATCCCCCTGCACTCGGCACTGGTGAGGCTGTACCTCGAATCCTGTGTTCAGTTCTGGGCCCCTCACTACAAGAGAGACATTGCGGGGCTGGAGTGGGTCCACAGAAGGGCAACAAAGCTGGTGAAGGGTCTGGAGCACAAGAGGAATGGCTGAGGGAACTGGGGGAGTTAAGTCTGGAGAAGAGAAAACTTAGGGGGGACTGCCTGAAAGGAGGATGGAGCAAGGAGGTGGCTGGTCTCTTTTTCCACGTAATAACATGAAATAACAGCCTCAACTGCACCAAATGAGGCTTTTGCTGGATATTAGGAACAATTTCTTCACAGAGAGGGTGCCCAGGCATTGGAACAGGCTGCCCAGGGCAGTGGTGGAATCACCGTCCCTGGATGTGTTCAAAAACCTCAGTGACATGGTTTAGTGGTGGCCTTGGCAGTCCTGGGGTAAAAAAGTTGGACGTGATGATTTTAAAGGTCTTTTCCAAGCTACCTGATTCTATGATTATTCTATGATTAATTGTATTGAGCCACTCGGGCAGAGATACCATATTTTAGGCATGGAAGCCCAGTAACATGAATGGGCACTACTTTTTAGCTGCGTGTCCATCCATCCATTCATCCATCCATCCATTCACCCATCCATCCATCCATCCACCCATCCACCCACCCACCCACCCACCCACCCATCCATCCATTCACCCACCCATCCATCCATCCATCCATCCATCCATCCATCCATCCATCCATCCATCCATCCATCCATCCATCCATCCATCCATCCATCCATCCATCCATCCATCCATCCATCCATCCATCCATCCATCCACCCACCCACCCATCCATCCATCCACCCACCCATGCTACTACAGCGGAATATACCCCAGCAATCATCCGGGGCTGCGGACTCACGCAGCGGGGAGGGCTGCAGGGATCACCCCAGCGGCCGCCCAGGGAGGTCCCGCCTCCCCGCCCCGCCTGCCCAACGGCCTCCCGCCCGTCTGCCCTCCCACCTAGCCGACTGCGGACGGAGGCGCTTGCTTTCCGCCAGGCCTGCCGCTCGCCATGCTGACCCTGGGGACGCTCCGTCGGCCCCTCGCCGCCGCCGCCCGCCTGGCCCGGGCCTGGGCCCGCCCGCAGGTAAGGCCGGGGCGCTGCGCGGAGAGCCGAGCCGAGCCGAGCCGAGCCGAGCCGAGGGAGGCAGCTGCGGCAGGGAACGGGCCGTGGTGCCAGCCCTGGGCCCGGAGAGGGAGGGCTTGGCGCGGCAGGGGCGGGGTCTGGGTGCCGGCGGTCCCGCCTGTGTCTTTTGTGCCCGTGTCCGGATGTGCAGGGGCTGTTGTCGCGACGCCCTCTTCAAGGTGTCTCTTTGGAAGCAGGGGCATTCCTCAGGCTGAGCGTCGGCCCTGGGTCTTGGCCAGAATCGTGTGCTGTTCTTCGGATGGGACAACTGCTCCAGCGCCGGTCCAGTGTTCTCTTGAGCGGAAAGAAACATACGCCGCTGTGCTGCAAAATTTCTGTTCCTGCAGAAATTCGGCACAGGACGGGCCACTGGCGCAGGATTACTGTTAATTCAGGATGCTGTGGGGAGTTAGAAACCATAAATACCAAAAGTGGCTGCAACAGATGGTAACCAAAGCTAGATGTGCAGTACTTGAAAGGGTAATTAGGAAACAAGACTTTTGGTTTTGGCTGGCTGCATTTTGTCACCTGAGCTGTACAGTGCACATGCCTGCTGATGCTCGTGAAATTAGATATATCCAGAATCCATCCTCTGTGCAAAAAGCCACCTCTATGCAAATACAGGCTAGCGCAAAAGATTCAGTTTGGCTTTAGTTTTTCTAGATCTATTTGAGAGGCGAGTATCATGTCCCAGGTTATTAAAGCAGTTGCAAAAGTAAGCATATTCTGGGGCTTCTGAAAGGGTTTATGTTATATGAATAGAAATACTGTTCTTGACTAGCCAGTGATACAGACTTTAGAAACCTCATGCTGGAAGAAGTGAGTCCTTTCCCAAGCTTTGGTATCTTGTTCTTTCTTTTTCCAACAATATGTAATTTGCTAATATTGATGAAGACTGCAACTGGAAAACAGATTGCAGTAGTGTGAGTTGGTTGGGTAAGGACAATGTAGGCAGCTGTTGATGTCGCCTCTATTTTGATGACATCGGCACCCTCACCTTTGAATAATGTGTTCAGCTGACTTTATTGGTTTGACTTCTGTATCCTGCTGCTGGCTTCATGAGGAAGGGGTATGAGAGAAGGCAACTCTTGGTTTATTATGAGCTAATAATTAAACAATTGAGCGTGGCGAATAAAAGCCATGTCATGATCTGCCACACTGCTGAAATGAGCTGCAGCAAGTAATGCCCACAAGAGCTACTGCCAAAGGAAAAATGTCACAAGATATACTTTTGTAGTGGAGATCACAAAGTACCTGCTGCTCCCAGCCCCCAGTTTGTGATTTTTCCCAATGTTGTATCCCAGGTACTCACATTCCTTGCTACGGGGCCCAGACAAGATAATAGCGTTTTCTATGAAATTCGCACGTACGATATTAAGCCATCAAAGATGAAGGAGTTTGTGGAGATGGCCAACAAGTACTTTCACCTCCGCACAGCTCACTCGGAGATGGTGGGAATTTGGTCTGCAGAGCTGGGAGCCATGAATAAGGTGGTCCACGTTTGGAAGTACGGTATGCTCAGCATCCCTTTGCACTGTTCTGCTCTCTCTGTACTCCCTGTCTCCTAGGCAAGAAGGTGAGGAGAATGCTTATGCAACTTGTATTTGTTGCCTTTACTGTCAGAAAGTGTCCCACAAGAATATTTGTTCCTGTACCGATTACTAAAAATAACACTGCGGAGCCTGTAAGGACAATTTTGACATGTTGGGATGAGAGAGTTACAACTGTTCCTAAACAGCAGTCTCTGCTTGAAGCAGGTACAATGGAGGAACTGCAGCAGAGTGCTTCTTGGTGAAATTTTCTAATTTAGGGCCAGCTCCGGAACAGCAGATGTTTAAAGGCTTTCAAAATGAACGTAAAAAAAGTCCTTTTTTATCCTTAATAAGTTTATACCCGTAAATGCAGACAATCTATATGCAGCCTGTGTAAGTTTGAATGCGTGTATAATTGTTGTCAAATTTTAGTTCAGTGTAACAGTCACTCCCCACAGTAATGAGCACGCAGTCTGCATGCTTAAACTCCTCCTGCAGCTGCACTGTGGTGAGTTGGAAGCCATCCACCAGCTCTGATTTCCCAAGCCCACAAAGTGTTTTGTTACTGCATCAGCCTTGGTAGCAATTGGCTTCTTGCAGTATAATAAACTTTGTATGTTGTTGGATTTGTTGGTGACCTGGAAGTTGTTGGTGAGGCAAGACAAGCCTCACCAGTGTGGCACAAACTGGGCGTGCTGGCTGCGCTCTTTGTGGAGCCCAAGGGAACTCGCTACTTGGGTTACGGATAGATGAGAGGGCACACAGGTATCATTTCTTTGTACATCTGCTGGTCTAGGGTAAATCTGTATGCTTATCTGTATCTGGGTCTATGTATGCAGATAATTTTGTTTCTGGGGTCCTCAGTCTACTCATTGAAATCCACCACGTTCACAGTACCTGTGTAGAATAAAGGGTCACCCCTTTTGTCCTCAGGGGATGAGAGGACCAGCTGTCTGTCAATGGAAATGTTACAAGTTTTCATGCATCTATGAGTAAGAAATTGTCCTGCTTCTCAGAACTTTTCAGCCTTGGCTATTACTTATTTCTCTAAAGAAACGACATTTTTTTAACAATCTGTGAGAAAATTTTAAAATTAAAAAAATAAGGAAAAAAATCTGTATTTTTATTTGTTTCCTAATGGTGTTTACATGTGTAAGTGACAGCATTCTCTCTCCTTGATTCACCAGACCTCTGCTTGTATGTGTTTAGTAGTTAAAAATAATTGGTATATTTTTCTCTTAGTCCCAAGATACTGGTATTTCTTCAGGCTCTTCCTGTTTTCTCAGATGCTGGATTTTTCTCTTGTAGTATTGAAAGCTGTCTGCATAAACACCCTGCTTAAAATGCCACTGCACCCTAATCAACTGAAATTCAGACCTCTAAACTCAGTGGATTTGTTTTTAATTAAGAAATAAAAAAAAAAAGAGGAAAATGTTTAGATTTGGGGCACTTAATAACTTTTAATGTAGCTGAACAAATAAAAATTACATCTACGCTTGTAATTTTTATCTGATTTATATAAGCCAAAACTCATATTTTTTCGTTATTTTCTCTTGGTTGACTAATATTCCTTCTGAATCTCCTTTTCCACTTCACTTCCCCATTTGCTGTGCTTTCGCCAAATCTCTTTACCCTTGGTAACTGTTGCCACATCCAGTAATCCCTGCAGATTGTGTATCTTTCTTAGCAGTAACATTGCTTAATGCATTTTAACATTTTATAAACTTTTTTTTAAAGTTTGTTTTGACTTGAAACTATTTAAATATGACAGCTAAAGCAGTGATTTCTGCAGAATTTAAAGGAAGATTACCACATCTGTTTCCAGCTAATAGGCTGTTTAAAAACATCAGTTTCAAATTTATGAAAATGGAGCTGGCCTCCTTGTAATTATACATTTTGATTGACCCTGATGTAACGTTAAGTGCACTTTTCATTGTTTTTTTGTCTTGGGTTTTTGTTTCCTTTCTTACAGATAACTTTGCCCACAGAGCAGTAGTTCGGCATGCGCTAGCCAATGACAAAGACTGGCAGGGAAAATTCATCTCTCCAGCTCTCCCCTTGATAGAAAAGCAGTACAATGAGGTTGCTTATCTGGTACCCTGGTGTCAGCTTGGGAAGCCTCCAAAAGAAGGGGGTGAGCTTATCTACTCTCTTGCTGAGTAAAGTTACTGACACTGACGGACTAACAAAAAATGGCTTAAAGTTTAAACCCGATATTACGTGGTTTTAGAAGCCCTTGTGTAACAAGTGCACACGTTTCACACCCACGTGAAAAAGGTGATGTAACACAGATGAGGGACAAAGGTTTTGAGAAGGATTTTATCCTGACTTCCATCAATTACTGACTAGAACCCTGATCATGAAGGTTGTAAAGAGGTGCGTGGCTTGCCTCAGCAGGAATAATGGCAATGCCGTAGTAGTGGTCAGAGGAGTCATTCTGGGACTTGCTTTGTCCATCCGTCAGTGAGGGGGCATTTCCTGGAGACACTAAAGAAAAGATGAGGATTGTTCTCTTTCACAGAGGTTTTTGAATTTATCAGTTTGCTTTGATGTTACCTCTGCTTTTGCCATAATAATTGCAAGAGAAAAAAACAAACAAAAAAATCCCTATTTTTAAAAGATACGTGGAAGTCAAGCATACTTTGTAACTTTGTAATGATCATAGATCAGGTGTAGATATCCTGTCCGTATGTATACTAATTCTTCCTGTGTTAAATGTGGTATTAATAGTACTGACTGTTCCCCAATATATGAACATTTGCCATCAAAGGGGTTTATCATAAGCCACTTCAATAGCAGAAAACATCACCAGCCTTAAAAAAGGCCAACTCACATTATTCAATCAGCCATCCAAATCCCAGAAACATGTATAAGTACTTGTGATACTGCAAAGTAGCCTGTGTTTTCCCAGGCAACACTGAATACTGCTAAGTTGGGCTCAGTGTGAAGCTTTCTGTTCCTCAGCATCCCAATACTTATATTTACACTTGAACTAGCTCCAGTCAGCAAGCCTCTGTTCTTGTGAGCCCCTGAAAGCTGTGAGATATTGTGCGTGCTGGGATGAAGGGGCAATTTTGTGTCCTGCTGACCCCAAATGGCAGGGAACTGCAGTACTGGTTTCACAGGAACTATGTTATAAGAAACAGCATATTACATATTTCCTTCCTTGAGGTCATCTTTGCCTTTTTTCCCAGGGGTATACGAATGGGTTACTTTCCAGATGAAGCCTGGTGGGCCAGCATTGTGGGGTGCAGCGTTTCAAGCTGCAATCAATGCTCACATCAATACGGGTTACACCAAACTGATTGGTGTTTTCCACACAGAGTACGGATTTCTTAACACAGGTACTACTCGATTTCTGGTAGAGACTTTGGCATGGGAAGGAGTGGAGGGAGAGGGGCAAGCGCTTGTCCTGGATGAGGATTGGCTGGCTTGATAAAAACGTTGGTGTGGGTCACCAGAGTCCTGTAAACAGTCCTTGAACCCATCTTTGTGTATTGGGTTATAAACCAGGTGCTGCTATTTTAGAAGACTCTCAGATCTGGTGTTAAAGAGCCAAACCTTTTAAAGACTCAGCAAAGGCTCATCCCATCACTTGACTGACTGGAGAATTGTTTCTGCTAACTGCAAGGCACTTAACTGGTGAAGGCAGACGCTTAATACCTTTTGTGTTGCAGCACAACAGCATTCAGCTGACTGTGTTTGTACTTTTCTCAGTCCACGTGATCTGGTGGAATGAGAGTCCAGATCACCGGGCAGCAGGAAGGCACAGAGCTCATGAAGACGCCAGAGTGGTAGCAGCTGGTAAGGGATGAATGATACAGAGAACTCACTAGTGCTACCTGCATGCATGCTGAGTAAAGTATTGTTTCTCATTGGATGCCTGTCTTAATTAAACACGTTTAATTTCAGTGCGCGACAGTGTCAGATTCTTGGAGTCCCAGCAAAATATGCTCCTGATGCCTCTGCCATGCTCGTCACTGAAGTAACCTTCTTCTAAGGATGCAACTGATGGCAGAAAGGACAAGATGGAAGTGCTGTCAGGAAGTGCTATAAGATGGATTGTCAAACCCTCATGACCTCAGCTGTTCTTCAGTTTACAGTAAATAGATGCAAAACGTTGATCACTAGCAGTGTAAATCAGTAAAATTTTGCACCCTGATAGCAATTGCTGAGTTTATGGTGATACTCCTGCCTCCCCAGGAAACAGAACTTGAGCCCTCTCACTTATGACATGAACCACACTTCACCCATCTTTTATTTTAATTCCTTAGTTTTTAATACTTTTCTGCATAGGTAGATCACTTACCAAACCTTTCAAGTTAAGTGCTCTTTTCCATCACAGCTCAGAGACAGTATCATTTTCATAATGTGCTTTGGTGACTCCTGTAATTACGACATCTTGGATATTGCATCCTGGGTTAAGAAGGAATGCCCCCACATATCTGTTAACCAATTATGTTTTAATCAGGCTCCTCACTGGGATGCTTTGTATTAATTCCGAATCATGAAAAACATCAATGCGGCTGGAATTGCTCCTAGGGAGGTGCTGCAGTGGAGCTGGTCAGGTAGTGTGTCCCAATGAACTCTGCTGCAAGACAAGCATTTATTCACTATCTTATTATAGTTCAGACCAGCTCTTTCCTTCCTTGATCAGCAGGCGCTTCCTCAAAACTGTAGATTACACACATAATGCTTTTCCTTAGGTATCTTAATATTTCTCTAGGCTGTTGAATAGGCCTTCTTGTTCAACTGTGTAGTTAAACTCAGCTGACAGTCTTCTAAATACTTTTTGCCAGACTGTTAAAAGCTAAATAAATGTGTATAGAGCATGAATTCTATTGCTTACAGCTATTGCTTACAGCTCAAGCTCTTAACTCTTTTTAAACTGTGAAATGATAAACCCCATTCTCCAATTACGGCATTTTGCAGGTCTTGGATTGTGGACAACAGCGGTCTTGGCAGTTGCTTTAGAGCCACTAAGCTGAAGTGAACAGCAGCACAGCAGAAGGTACATGGGCTGAGGAGTCACGCTTATATGTTGTATACATGGAATGGAGCACACCTTTCAGCATTTAAAGGTCAGGAAGTGGCAGAGCACAAAGGAAGCTTTCCCACACGTTAATCACTGACCTTCAATGAGCAATTGATTTAACATTTCTGCTGAAGTAGCTTTGTGCAATCTGCCTAGTGATGATTATTGCTTCTGTGAAGTGCATTAGGATCTCACAGAAAGCACTTAAAAAGACCCTGTTGTAGGCAATTAGGTCCAAGAGCAGGTAGATAGGGTGCAGCTGCTCTAGTAAGGGAATGTAACAGGTCCCAGCACCCATACGCATGTTCATAACTCCTCTCTCTCCAACAAAGCCATCTTTAACATTCTCAGGGTTGAACAAGCACTACTTCAGAGACCACCCTCTTCTATTTTACAAATCAACTTTTTAAGGTATAAATGGTTGATAAACCATCACTACCAAGCTGATTCAGAATATTATCTTATGGCAGTTAACTCAGGACTTTTTGGTGGTTTTTAAAATAACAAAAACATGGGCTGAAAAATGGGACAGGGAATTAATAGAACTTTTCTTTTTTTCCCCAAAAAAAGTTAAGTTCTATTTTTTATTAGAATAAAAAAGAGCTGTACTAAAAACAGTGTAATTTTTTAAGTGAAACTATTTTCCTTTTCACCAGCATTAAGGGTAAAGCACGCTCAGGATTTTAGAGGTGTGCTTTATTTCAAAGTTCGTGGTTTTCTGAGAAGTGGTTGATAAATCAAGCACATTACCCAAAATACCAGCTGGACACTAGGTTAGAACACAAAACCCAGGACATTTTCATTAGCTTATTTAGTGTGAATTTTCCTGATGAGTGCAACTTCAAGAACTGGCTGGATCCTGGAATTTAACTGGTTGGTGGTGGGATTACAGGCAGTAGTTGGCAAAATTTTAACATCGGTTTTCTTTTGGGCAATTGGACCATTATTCTGCTTTCATTTGTAAACTGCTGTTCTAAATCAAACTAATATTAACTGGAATAGTTTTCCTTTAATTTGATACTAGCTAAGGGTTCGTTAAGTTTAGCGTATTTCAGAATCTTTATACTGAAGCATAGCATTTTGCTTTGTCAGTACAAACAGGCATAGGCTGTTTTAGCAAAGAGGGGAGCAGTTATCAATAGTTGCAACTTTCCACATCTCTGTAATGGAAATACTCAAGAGGCAGGTAGCTGGCTTGAGATTTAAACATCCAGGTAAGTTTATTGTGCTCTGCAGCTGGATTTGACAGTTGCACGATTCACTGTTTCAGGTCTTGCTGGAGACCTTTTTATTTACTACCTTTAGAAACTCCAAGTAGCACCTCCGTTTCAAATCTTGTGCCAGCTCACTTGACTGAAAATAGTATGTGCACTGTGCCAATTTGTAGAGATACTGGAACTTGCTTGTACATTATACATCAACATTCAAACAAAACAGAATGGGCAAAACAAGAAATTCTAACAGCACTCCTCAAAAGAACATATGCAAAAATGACATTTTGAAAACCAATGGTGCCACAACAGCTTTATTTTTCACTTAATACAAGGCAATTAGAGTGCCTTTTGATACTTCACGTAACAGGTATTAGCAAATACAAATATATATACTTTTTTTTTCTTTTCTTGAAAATGACCATTTAAGGATTTAAATTAGGAATTTCAGTTGTGAAATCACTCTAGATTTTTGCAAAGTCAACAGATATTCCAGTGCAAAAAATAGATCCCATTACAGATAGCATAAAGTGCTTGGAACGAAGGACCAACTATAATTCAGGATAAGCATAAAGTGGTAGTTTAACCATGGGGAAAATACAACAGCTCCTTACTGAAATACAAATGTACTACAAAAAGGGATACAACATGTCAATAGTAATATGATTTAGAATAAGTTAACATCTCAGCGCAGTTTCATTATCAAGAGTGGTTCATATACTGTATGTGACTCTAGAGTGATCTTTTTCCCCAAAACATGAGTAAATTAGTGGCTGTCTGAACTTATTCCATGACAAATCTTCATGTGAGAGTTGAATTATGCTGGCTGTTCAGTACAAATGAGTCAGGTCAGAGCTGTGAAATAGTCTGGTTAAGATCTGTATTTACTGTAATATTTTGTCACAGATAGCAGACGCTGTATGAGCATGACAGTCACAGGGCAATAGGAATCAAGAATTTTGTGGGTGGGATAAGGAAAGAGGATTATGATGTAACTGTTGTCTCCTGCTAAATTAATCATTTAAATGAGCAGTTTCAAAGAGCAGACCACAGCCCTTTCAGGACCAAATCTGAATCCTCCTAGAACTCGTTTTAGTTCTATATGCACTAGTTTGGTGCCATGCAAAACTTAAGCCCTTCACTTTGGTGACTTAATGCTGATTTGTAACAGTGATTTTTAGCAGTGGTAAGCCTTTAATACATGCTAGTTGTTTCAATGATACCGTAACATAGCTGCGGCCTCTTACAGAGAAGTCATGGCTGTAGCTCAGCTGTTTATTAATTTTTCTGCACCTGGAAGTCTGGTGTATTCATCACCCTGCTACTCATCCCCGTAGGGTGACAATGCCATAAACATAATAACAAATCATGTTTTAAGTGAGGTATACCAATCCCCATTATACTCCTTTCTCAATCCCCTTAGCAATGTACTAAATACAGTTAAAAAAAAAAACTATGAAAAAGGCACTTCAGCAGAGTGTATAGAAAGCTCTTACTTTATCCCAAGGCAGGACACAGCAGGGATTGGGAACTTCATATATATTTAACTGTGTTTCAAGATTTCTGATTTGGCCAGTGTTACCAAGTATACTTGGAAATACAGAATCATAGAATGGTTTGAGTTGGAAAGGATCTAAGGACCATCTCATTCCAACTCCCCTACCATGGGCAGGGACACCTCACACTAGACCATGTCACCCAAAGCTCTGTCTGGCTCACACCAGCCTCCTGACTGTCTATTGGGCTGCTATGGACATTCACAGAAGAAAACGGTCCATGACTGATTCATGGTGGAGTGGCATCAAGAACTACTGCCGAACCTGTATGGGTATTTAAGGAAGGGGCATGACATACTTGAATAGCCCAGGAACTGCACTTGGGTTCAAACCACATTACCAAACCTATTTCTGAATGTAAAAGCAAGGTAGAGGGGCCTGTAAGCGTATTAATGAAAGCATACTCTCCCATGACTGTTGTACAATGTCAATGAGAATTGGTTGTTCTTACTACAAAATATGCCCTCTAACATTATTCTGGCTTCATAAAACTTCAGAAATTATTGACTGATGTAACTATAGCACTACTACTTTGAAGAATCTTGTCCTTCAAGGGGATTTTTACTGAAGCAGTTTGTCACATGTGTAATAGGGGTGTGTTCTCCAGTTAGGGATCACCAAATGACTGAAACTACACTGCACAACAGAAGCAGAAACTTCTTACACATTAATCTAATGTTATACCAGTTTCCAAACAAAAACATTTGACATGAACAATTTGCGGTATTTGCAGATAGCAGCTGATTGCTAGAGTCTGGAACTTGGTCAGATCATGAACATAGCTATCACTGAATCGACACAACGAGAGCATAGCATGGCAGGCACAACGTAAAGAAATACTGTGGCTACAAAGATCAATTGAAAGCACTTTCAATCCCTAATTAAGCTACCTACCTATTTAAAGTCATAAATAATACTGTTAAAAAAAAAAATCTACATCTCATTTCTAGTTTTACCTGTCAAAGCCAGAAATGGCAACATGCTTGTGCTAAGCAGTTATTTCAGATTATGGGTACCTTTCTGGTGCAAAGCAGGGGTTAAAGAGCAGATATTATGTATCTGAGTGACATCTCATGATTTAGAATTTGCTCTTGGCATTAGCAGCTTGTACAACTACTGAGTTTGCTGCTGTGGTCCAAACACTAGGTCTGCTTCTCACCCACTTCCTCCTACTAGGTGTTCAGGCAGCTGCTGTAGTACCTCAAAGAGCAGGAGAGTACTGAACTACACAAAACCCTAGCCAGAGTAGGTTATTGGTTATGATGCTGGTGGGTCAATCCTGTGCATTTGCAGGGTTCACGGTTCTGTGTATCACCACTTACTGGTGGAGATGTACAGATACGAAGGCCTGTCTCTTGCTATCCCA